TAAATGTAAATGGGCAAGTGCAGCAACCACAATCTACTAAAGGCATGGTAAGCAGGGTGTCTGGCCACTCAGGGGTGGCAGTCCTGGTCACCAAGCTCAGGAGTGCCCAAGTAAGATGAGAGGCATTTAGAATGGGCAAATAGAGGCGGGACACAATGGGTATCGATAATATACTTGTCTTGGGACCAACTACAAAGTGGGGCTATGTTTTGTCCCATCATCCTTCATCTTGTATATATGAACTGTAATCCCAGAATCCAGAAGCTTTATCTGGATGGAGCAAATCCATGTGAGAAGCTAATGGATCTGCACAGTGCTAGGGGTGAGCTGTACTAGGTGCCATATGTCTATTTCACTGAGCCAGGGCATCCATTTCTCAGTTGCTGTGAATGTTGGCTGCTAATGGTAATGTGTATATTCTTTCACATCTTGCTTTCTTGCATTCAACATTATTATGGTTTCATTCTTTTATGTGGTTATACATAGCTGTAATGGAGTTCATTTTTTTTTACTGCCCTATAGTATTCAATTATATCAATATAACACAATTTACTTTGCCATTCTTCTGTTGATAGAGCTTTGAATAGTTTATGGCTTTGGCTATTAAAAATAATGCCAATATGAATATTCTTTTTACCTGTCTTTGAGTACACACACACACACACACACACACACACAGTTCTGTTGGATCTCTATCTAGGAGTAAAACTATTGGATCACAGGGTACACAAACATATTCTACAATAGTAAATAGTGTTAAACAGTTTTACAGCTCTATAGGCATGAAGATATTCTTCTATATCATCTTCTGGAAGATTTATTGTTTTATTACCATTTACTTTAAGGTCAATAATCAACTTGAAACGAGGCAAAATAGAAGTTTAATTTTTTTTTTCCAGATGCAAACCAATTGACCATTTGATTTAAAAACACTTTATTTAAAAGATTTCCCTTGGTCCACTGTTCTGTGCACAGTCTCATACAATGATTGATTTGTTGGATTGTTCTCATAAACAAGTTTTGGTACAATAACTGGACAGTTATTGGGTTGAACCTTTTGTGATATTAATATTATCTTCATTTCCCTGAGACAACTGAGGTTCACAGATGTTAATTAGTTTAGTGAGCAGATTCTTTTGTACGAAGATTCCCCTTATTAATGCCTTAAATGAGATATAAATTATAAATGGATTCATCATTTAGCAGATAACAGGAAGAAGAAAGGGGATTCGGGTCTGGTAAGGCACTTCTGTTAACTTCATGTAGTGTCCAATTCCAAGACAGTTGTTTCACCTCCACCTTTATGCTTTCATTGCAGCCTAGTGGGGAAGAGGAAGAGCATAGAATTACATGCCCCTTATTTTAGGGATGTTACCGGAAATCACACAATTCCACTCATATCCTGTAGACCAAAATTCAGATATACAGTATAGCCACGGGGAGCCTGGGAAATGGAGTCTTTACTTTAGGTGGCCAGTGTCTCACTGAAATTTGAGGTCTCTGTTACTACAGGAAAAAAGGAGAGAATGGTTATTGGAACTGCGAGCCATAGTCCTATACTTAGTTGCAGAATAGCCGAGATGCAGACAAAAGTTCGTGTGACTCCAGGCTGTACTGCACAGCTCATGACAACTAACTGGACCACAGAGCTTGCCTTTGGAGACATTCCTATCAAAGCTTAATTCCTAGATTCTCTCCACATGTGTATAATTTTCTTTTACTAGAAAATAAATTATTTAACAATATATTTTGCTGTTGTAACTTTTCAAAAAATGGAACTAAATTTAGATACAGTGCTATTGTGAGTAAAATAGTTTCCCAAGCCTGTTTTAATCCTTCTTCCACTGACTTGACTTCTTCTCTTATCCTTTTCCCATTCTTCTTCTCTCCTTACCTCCTAGTTTCTCCCTTCCTCTCCCCTCCCCTCTTTTCTCTTCTCCTCTCCTCTCTCCCTTTCTCTCTGCCTCTCTGGATATGGGGAGAATGAAGGCAAATGGTGAGTAACAATGTCTATTCCACTTTTTAATTCTTTTTTTAAAACGTTTATTAATAGTTTTTATTACACAAGTAATACATATTCATTGTAGAAAAATTAGAAAACACAGAAAAGCAAAAAGAAAAAATAATCACCCATAATCCCACTACCCATAAATAACTACTATTAACATTTAATGTATGTCCTTCTAGCTTTCTTATGCATATATATACATACATAGATAGATTTATATATAATTTTCTTTTTTTTACAAATATTGTATCATACTATCCATACTGTTTTATAACATGTGTTTTATAATTAATATATATTGTGAACATTGCTATTTATTCCCTGAAAAATTATACAGATACTACATGCTTATTGTGGAAAATTCAGAAATTACAGATATGCAAAAAGAAAATATAATTGCTCCAAATCTCACCTCTCAGAAAAAATTGCTGTTAACATTTTAGCAAATAGCCTTTCATACTCTTTAATGCACACATGTATATGTATATTTTTAAAAAATGGATTTCTTCTGTAACTTTCTTTCTTCATTTACAATATAGCTTCTTTATTTCCATATATATATATATATATATATATATATATATATATATATGCTTATTCTTAATTGGTGCACAGTATTCCATTGAAAGGATATACCATATTTAACCAGCCCTTTACTGTAGACGTATCTACATTTTTTTATTTCTCCAAATATTGCTACTATCAGCATCCTTTCTTGCATATATTTTTTGAATGATGAATGAATGTAACTTAGTTCATTTTTTTTCCTGACCTTTTCGAGGAGAATCTCCCTGAAGTGGAATTACCTGGCATACATGTAAAGTACATTGCCAAAATATTTTCCAGAAAGATTGACTCAATTTACACTCATGTTGACTCTGTAAGAGAATATTCATTTCCACACTTCCTCTGTCCCTGGGCATTTTAATTATTTATACCTTTCTGATACACAAAAAGGAATATATTACAATAATTTACATTTTTATTACCCACTATATTCAAATAGTTTCATAATTATCATTAGTGCATTATTGAAATTTATGGTACACTGCCAGTTTGTGTCTTGGCTCAATTTTCTACTGGAAAGTTTGATTTTTTTTTTTTTGAGGCATAAAATGTCATTTATTCATGAATTCATTATTCACTCATCCAATAAATGTTTTTAGTATTTGCTTTGTGTCTAGCACTGTGTTAGGTGTAGAAGATATAGCAGTAAGCAAAAGAGACATGGTTGCTGCCCTCTTAAAATTCCAGTTTTGTGGATATAGACAATTAAATAAGCAGTAATGAAAAAGTGCAGTAGAAAAGAAAATAATGAAATGGCAACATTTGGATGGATAGGGAATTGTAAACCATGGAAACTTATCAAAGTAGTGAAATTTAAACTCCTGATATATATTACAGGTCTGTACTTTTTGTTGCATATATTTAAACTTTTGTTTTCTCCTTATCTGAATTATTTTTCATTGTATAGGAGCTTTGGATTTTCAATTGGTCAAATCCATCCATCTTTTCCTTTGTGGTTTCTTCCTTTTGTGTCATGCTTAGAAAGGCTGTTTTCCACATGAAAATTATATAAATGTTCATCAGTATTGCTTGCTAGTCCTTTTTTATATGGTTATTTATTTGCTTTAGCATTTTAATCTTTACTGCAGTCAGAATTGATTTTGATAAAGATTATGAGGCATAGATATAATAATTCCCTCAAAATGGCTAGCCAGTTATCTATTTATCTATATAAAAGCCTAAGCGACTGTCTGACCCGTCAATCGTCCAACCTATATCTATGACATGCACTAATCATCAGGGGGCAGACACTCAACGCAGGAACTGCTGAGCTGCAGTGACTTGGCAGCTGCAGTTCTCAGGTGACACACCCAAAACCACAGAGTAGGGAGCCCGATTCAGTCTGGGACCCCTTGGGGGTTGTCTGAGAGCTGGTTTTAGCTCGATCCTTGCAAGCCAGGCTGAGGTACCCCACTGGGGCATGAATGCATGCATCAGGCCTCTAATACCAATAAAATTTACTTAATAATCCAATCTTTCCTCAGGGATTTGAAATGTAATTTTTATAATGTACTCCATTCTTCTATATTCTTGGGTTTATTTCTGGACTTCATATTTGATGCTAATGATTTATTTTGAGCCAATACTGTCACTACTCTTTTTCATGCTATTTATAGTTACCTAAAACTTGAGCATTTTGCATTTGGTGACATTCTAGAATACAAAGAAATGATAGACATTGCTTAGGGATGTGTGTGGGGTGGGAAATGAATCTGGATGATATCCCTGATCTGAGACATCCAGAGTCTGAAATTCATATAGGATCACTGTTAATATGTCCCATTTGTTTGCTGTCTAAGGTAAATTAGATGCTTTTATACTTGGTTTCCCCCTCTCACTCTAAAGCTCATCTTTCAGAAGGTGGCAGTATTGCCAAACAGTAAGCATCAAATGTTACATGGAGCACCAAGGAGCCAAAGGATCTGGCAGGATTTTAGAATCTCTCCACAAGCTTTCATTAGAGGAGGCAGCGGGCTGTGCTACTTCTAAAGTCTTCTTTGTACCCAGAAGAGTGGATCTGTCCTTGACGTGTGCAAAACACTAGTGGACCCATATTTTAAAGTGACACCTTTGCCTTCCAGGCATTTTTTACAAACCTTATCCAAAAGTGTCTTTGGACCCCACCACTGACTGATGCAATGCAGAGAAATGTGGATTTAAACAATGTGATCATGGTGGGATCCGGGTGATTTTTATTTTCTTTATACTTAGTGATATTTTTTTCAGATTTTCTGCAAAGATCATGTATTGCCTCATAATCATAAAAGAAGAAGAAGAAGAAGAAGAAGAAGAAGAAGAAGAAGAAGAAGAAGAAGAAGAAGAAGAAGAAGAAGAAGGAGAAGAAGGAGAAGGCGGCAGCATGGGGCATTAAAAATATGGTGGTAAAGTGGAAGATTGTGTGCCAGAAGCAGCTCACAACCTTTTCTTTTTCAAGCATGTGGGTACATGCAACAACATGGATTCAATGTTCTCTCCTTATCCCTAGAGATCAGCTCAGTGTTATTGCTAATCAGGAAGCAGATGCCAGCAGGAAGCTGAGACATTAGAACTCTATCTCATGGAACTACACCTGAGAAAGTCCTTTGGTGGGGAGAGGACAAGGGGTCAGGCTCCTAAAGAGACACATTGGCATATCTAACGGGAGACTGTGAATTACCTGTTGCAACTATGAGCCAGTGTAAGTTATCAGGACTTGGAGGACTAAATTTAATTTTAGGACCTGCCACTGAAAAAAGATCTATAAATCTTGGAGTGTGTCTAAGGGAACTACAAAACTGATCAAAGGCTGGGAAACAGGCACTATGAATAGAAGATAAAGTGGTTGCATTTATTTACTTCAGGTATGAAAAGCCTAGCTAGGGAATTAGACAAATTCCCATCTCCATGAAATGCTACTATGGTCCTCCCAATCATGGAGGTGAGACCTGAATTTATTAACAGTCTTCAGTTGTACAAAGCACAATTGCACAGAAGTTAAGTGTTACTTTTACGCTGAAACTAAGAGACTAAGGCTAGAGTGAGCACAAATTAACCAAGCAGAAGTGATTTAGGCCAGGCATTTAGAAGAACGTGCTGAACAACAAGGTTAGAGTTATCAGTTAATAACTGCGCATGGATTAGTAGGAGCTAGAATGAAGCGAAGGGTTTAATATAGTAGAAAGATGGGAGAGGACAGAGACTAAGTGAGAATGGGCCAAATTAGGCTACCTAATAATCTCTAAAACAATGGGCCTGAAGTCAATTAATTCCAGGGGATAAAAATGAACCACATTCAGGAAAGGACATTAAGCTTTAATCAAACCTTGTTTATGAAAACCAGGGTTTGCAGACCAGGTAAATCTGGGAATGGTTACCTGCTTTGAAGGGGAGTACTCACCTGAGGTATCTTTTAAATAGCATATTCCCACAACTGTTTGTTTTACAAGTAATTTGATTTTGAAAATTGTGGTTTTCTTGGGTAATTTTTGAGGGCACTTCTTTCTATGAAGCCAAGCATATCTATAATCATGCATCCATTACAAGTTCACTGGGACACAACTCTGACTCTATGAATAAGGCCAACAGCCAGCTAGTGTGATCCACACAGAAACCTTCATAGCCTTTGAGATTTTCTTCCAATCCTTTAATCCTTTCAACCTGAAAAACCTAGAAGACAATTCCAAAGATGATTTCCAAAACACTAGATATTATGTTGAACTATATGAAATTGCCATTTCTTAGGTCAAAACAGTCAAATATCAGCTATTTCATATAATTCAGCCTAATACAGTAATTATTCCAGTGATTTGTTTGTATCTGTCTTCATCTTCATTAAAGCTAAAGGCTTTAATATATTTAGTTTTCAGGTCAAGGTATTGGTGAGCATGTAAATGCCTGTGTACATAAGTAGGAAGAAATTATAAGGTGGGGATTAAAGATGCGCTTTGAATACACCACTTATGGGAATCTTGATCCTCCTTTTATTATACGAGACACTGGTGCCTCTTGTCTGACTTCGGGATTTTTCAGACTATGGAAAAAAGAAAAGAAGTCTAAAGACCTGATCTGCCAACCTATGGGAAATTCTGTCTGGGAAATGGGCCAAAGAAAGAACAGTGGGGAATACAACAAAATGTGTAGCATGTTACAAGTTTAGTGGAGGAAGATCACAACAAAGCTGTGAGCAGAAAAACAGCACGTGGCTTCCTCCTTTCTAAAGTATAGTATTGCTTTATGTGTCCTGCTTTCAAGAATCTGCATAAGGTAAGACACCGAGTACACATTGGAAAAGTCATACCTGCATCGTCATCTAAAATTAGACAAGCTTAGCTGAACTGAAAAGATTTTATTAATAATGTAAAATGTTAAATATTTTTATGATCTGAGCTAATTCCAGCATGCCCTAAAGAGTTAACACTATGCTGATGCGCAGACTTCATGCTTCAGATTTCAATTAGAACAAAATGTCATAATATTCAAATTTTACATTTGAGGGTAATTGTATATGTTACTACACCATTTCCTAACTGGATTACTTCATTCTCCAAGAAGCTGAAAAAGACACCATTGAATCGAAAGGAAATTAGTTGCCCATATGCACTGTACGAAGGTATTAGGATTATTGTATATTTACAAAATTTAAACACTTTTCATAGATGATCTTTGCTGCATTATAAATTAAGATATTTTTCTGTTGAAGCTCTTAGATTCTGATGGAATGGAAGACTAAATGTAAATGAACGCAGAGAAAGCAATAGGTGAGGTGGTGTTCACTTATATTGTTTCTAATGATATTGATAGATTGGATTTTAACACAGTTTTGCAGTTTTAATGGATTTCTATGTTTAAAGACTTCTTCCACATAAAATAAATTGTTAACATGAGATCAGCAAAAGTTATAGGATTACTAGTGTACATGAAATGATTTTTCTCTATAATCCATTTTAAAAGACCTTTAAATAATTTAAAAATCATAATTCTTGCATCTGTCATGATATGGTTTGGAGCAGACATGACATGCACAATGTCAACTTTAAAAATCATTTTAAAAACAGCCTGTTTTTTAAATCTGTGGTGTTTTTTTCCCCCTTGACAGCAGCTACTTTCAAATGTAAAATCATTTAAGAGGGTAGAGAGTGGCGGCTAAAAGTAATAAGGAAGCATAGAAAACATAGTCAGAAACCAATAACTGTGGTTCAGCTGTCTGGAGGTCCTCGGCGTCTGTGGTTTTTTTTTCAGGTCTCCTCTGGGGTGGGTTTCCAGGAGGAATTGTCTAGCTTGAGACGAGACAACATAGCCCAAAGAACCTTCTCTTCCGTCTTCTAACCAGAGGGTAGGAAGTTAGATTTAGAAGACTGCTGTCATCTGTGATGGGACAAAGTACATATGAGTGAGGTCCAGACAAAACCTTATGAATTGGCTTTAAAAATCCACCACCTTTTGAATTAGGTTTCTTAACCTTATCACTATGGACATTCTGGACCAGATAATTCTTTTTACTTTTTTAATATATTTTATTGATTTTTTTTTTTTTTTTTTTTTTTTTTTTTTTTTTTTTTTTTTTTTTTTTTTTTTTTTTTTTTTTTTTTTTTTTTTTTTTTTTTTTTTTTACAGCGAGGAAGGGAGATGGAGAGAGAGTTAGAAACATCGATGAGAGAGAAACATTGATCAGCTGCCTCTTGCACACCCCCTACTGGGAATGTGCCTGAAACCATGGTACACGCCCTTGACTGGAATCAAACCTGGGACCCTAGAGTCCACAGGCTGACCCTCTATCCACTGAGCCAAACTGGTTAGGGACAGATAATTCTTTATCATTGGGGGCTGTCCTGGGTATTGTAGCATGTTTAATAGCATCAGGGCCTCAACTTACTAGATGCCAGTAGTAACTCCCTCACCAGTTGTGACAATGATATGGCCAAATGTTCCCTGGCGGAGGAGCAGAGAGCCCACTGTTGAGAACCAGGGCTTGGAGTTAAATGTGAACTATTTAGTTGCCATCTTTCAGTTGGGAGAAGTATAGATTCTTGGGAAGAGCCCACGCTTTGGGCAAAGTAGGCTTCTTTTCTAAACTTGCCTCTGCTATTTACTAGCTCTGAAATTTGAACATGCAACTTAACTCAGCTTCAGTTTCCTCATCTGTCAAATAGGGCTTAATATTCCTTACAGGAGGATTAAGTGGAATAATCTATGAAGAACATTTAGCTTGGGCAGACACCTTGGTGCCTAGCAGAGAGGAAGCACTTTAATAAATAGGACTACTATTATGGTCACCTTGCCTCCCTTCACCTACTTCATGTCTCAGGAAGAAGTGTCAACTATTCCCCGTACAGTCTTTCTCTCCCACTTTCTATAGATATCCATACAAGGGCAATTCAAAACGTTTTATTTGAAAATGTTTCCCATGATGACAAATAGAGGGAGACATAAGCCTGAAAACCAAATCTAGTTTAAGGGGCTGGGTTTTAGAAAATAATGCAGTCCAAAGAGAGGCTGAGTAGAAATATCCTGCTGGGCAGAACTGGCCAGTGGGTCCCAGAGACTCGAGAAGGACCATGAACAAGTATGCTTTTCATTGCCAACTGGGACGGTGCTAGAACATGGAGAGACTGGAGCTAAGGGCAACCCCATGGCTGGTTGGTTTTTATTGATGACTGAGCCTAGGCACTCAGGAAATATCAACAAAAAGAGTCCTGAGTCCTGGCTTTCGGGTCCTCTTATGTAAATTGTGTCATCCCAATGCCCAGGCCTTTCTTCCCCTTTCCCAAGGGTTCATGTACTCAAATTAGCATTATACTTGCAAGCAAATTAGCATCACCCACCAAACTGACAGTGTTCCTTGGAATGGTATGTGCTATGTTATACATTTAGATGAAACTGAATAGGAGTTGGTGCCAGGGAAGAAAACAGGCACCTCAGCTGGGCACAGCAAATTAGTCAAACACAGTGCACTTTCCCAGTCTCCACAGATTAAAATCCTTTCTTAAAACTCACATTATGCTAACATGGAGTGGGGGGACTCTCTTTGTCCTTTCCATGGTGAAAAATAATTCACTATAATCTGGATGTCAACATTTTGAGAGCTAAAAATAGATGTCCTTCTTTTATAATTAAACTTGCCCCAGGAAGGTGGAAGAGAGTAAAGGGGGAATAAAGGTGGTTGAAGGAGATTTGACTGGGGGTGATAAATACACAATACAATAAATAGATGATATATTGTAGGATTATATACCTGAAACCTACATAATTTTAGCCCTGACCAGTGTGGCTCAGTTGGCTAGAGTGTCGTCTTGTAAACTAAAAGGTTGTGGGTTTGATTTCTAGTTAGGGCATGCATCCAGGTTGCAGGTTCAATCCCTGGTTGGGCATGTATGGGAGGCAACCAATCAATGTTCCTTTCTTGCATCAATGTTTAGCTCCCTCTCTCAAATCAATAAAAAATAGTTTAAAACTTACATAATTTTATTAACCAATGTTACCCCAGTAAATTCAATAAAAACGTAAAAACACATACACGTACAAAAGCAAAAACAAATCTTACCCTAAATAGTTAAGCTATTGAAAGCAATATCAGAGAGTCTATATGAGCCAGACTTCTCAAGATAATATCTCAGAGGTGAATCATGATATATTTGGAACAGAAAGATAGCTCACTTTCTAACCATTTTTCGGACTCTTACTTCTTTAACCACCAAATGAGCAATAACTTAACCTAATTGGGTGTGGCAAAGAGCAGATTCTGAAGAATAAAGAATTTTATCTTTCGATATCTGTTTGGATACTGATAACATTTCCTGAAACTCAAGTTCATCTGCAATTCAATACTTCCTTGGAACAGAATCACCAGATCTATGAAGATATTTATAGGAAAGCAAATCTTTGTATTTTATTTCTTTAAGACTTGGAAGACCTATTTCCTGAATTTCCATATATCCTTTCTCCAAACAATTAAGAGATTTGGGGAGTGTGACCTAATTGGTATTTTATATATTATAAAATGCAATTCTGATATGTACAGTTCTCACTACATGAGAAAATGTCTACTACAATGTTGTATTTACAAAGAAAGGATGAATGTGGATGCTGGAGAATGTGGAAGCTGTACATTTGCTCCTATTCTCTGCTTTTTGTTATACACACATATTAAGAGATTAGAGGTTTGGTGCACTAAATTTGTGCACTTAGTGGGGGGGGGGGGTGTCTCTCAGCCTGGACTGTAGCCTCTCTCAGTCTGGGAGCCCTCGAGGGATATCCGATTGGTGGCTTACACCTGCTCCCAGAAGGGAGCAAGCCTAAACTGTTAGTCGGACATCTTTAGCACTGTCACAGAGGCAGGAGAAGCTCCCACAACCGCAGCTGTGCTCACCAGCCGTGAGCCTGGCTTCTCTGTCCACCAGGGGACAGCTCCTGCATTGATCATCAGCCCCTGGTGGTCAGTGTGCATCATAGTAACCGGTTGTTCTGCTGTTCAGTTGATTTGCATATTAGCTTTTTATTATAAAAGATTTGGACCAAGACTGACAGTTGTCAGAAGGGAGGAGGTTTGAGGAGCTAAGTGAAAAAGCTGAAGGGATTAAGCAGTATAAATTGGTAGTTACAGAATAGTCACAGAGATGTAGATTACAGCATAGGGAATATATCATGATAAATAAGCATGGGGATGGGTGGGTGTTTGAGGCAGTGGGGGGGGGACCACTCTGTAAAGTATATGATTGTCTAACCACTATGCTGTTCATCGGAAACTAACACAGAGTAATACTGAAGTAAACTGTAATTGAAAAAAATTGAACTGGCCCTTGTATCTATGCATTCATTACAGTGAATGAGAAACCTTTTGTGCTACTAAAACTCTCTTCACTCAGTCATATATATATTTCACTTGTGTGAGTACTATACACACACATAAACAAGCATAGTACTCACACATAAATAGCAAGTGTTAGGAATGATAAGAAAGTGTTAGGTTGTTGAGCAAAGAACAGTCTGCCTATTAAGGATGACTGCTGGTTTGGGGCATCTTTGTTGAGCATTAGTGACACCTTAGCCTAGCCCAGAGCTTGTCTGATTATCACCATGGGCTGAGATGACACAAAAGCTCAAAAGTTGTTGGCAGACGTTCAGAGCAGCTTTCTACACCATAGGAAGCTGACACCTGCAGTAAATGCTGAAATTCACAGAGCAGTAGGTATGCCTGGAACAGTTTGAAGCAAATTAAAGTCCAAGGAAAGACGTCTTTCCACATTGATTAAAATCCTGTCTCTGAAGTAATGGGTGACCAAAAGAATGTGAGCAAAATGGACCATTTTCCCACTCATTCTAAACTTTCTGGGTTACTCCACTCGACCTTCTTGAGACATCTTTGATTTTTATTCCAAATGTTTGAAATTTTTGTAGCATCTTTTCTCCAAAGTACATACTCTCAGAGAATTGTAACCTAGTAGAATTGTAAATGTGAAAATAAAAATGAGAAAGGAAAGGGAAGGAAGAAATGCATATGAGAATGTAAAAAAAAAAAAATCAACCATCAATTATTTCAGATCTCAGTCATTCAATGTTTAATTCTTGGATGCTACTTGAGCCACTGGAGTTCTCTAAGGCAAAATGATACCATGTTTCTATTGCTCAAATCTCTTTAGCTAATATAGGATTTCTTATATAAATGATATAAAAGAAATAGGAAGACATAAAAATGAGAGGTTTTCAGCCATGGCCACGCATACCAAAAGGTTGCAGGGCATATACCTATATTGCAGGTTCAATACACACCCTGGGTAAGGATGGGAGGCAACTGATCAATGTTTCATGTTCTCTCTCTTTCCCTTTCTCTTTCTCTCGAATCAATAAATATATCCTCTGGTAAGGATTTAAGAAAAAGAAGTTTTCAAAGAATAAACTAAGTTTAAAGCTATGTTCTCAGATAAAGTCAAAAGAAGTACTTATAATGGCCAGTGAAAGACCTTCAGTTAACCCAGTGGTTCTCAAACATTAGCTTCCTCAGCATCTTCTGGGGGCTTATTAAAGCACAGATAGCTGGCCCCACCTCCAGAATTAGTTCTGAATTAGTAGGTGTGTGGTGGGAACTGAGAATTTGTATGTATTACTCCCAGACCTGCTGATGCTGCTAGTCCTGAGACCACACTTGGAGAGTCATTGAATTAGCCAAAGTGCATGCTCTGTATCAGGTATAGATGGATTCTAAAAGAAAGATGGTCCTTGGCCTCAGGAATCTTCCTTTGAGTAACTATGAGGCTTCAACAGTAATGCTGTAAAAGAGATACAAATACAATCTTATGAGAATTCCAAATGGGGAAGTTACTTCCAATTGGAGGAAGAAGGAAGAAGGAAGAAGACATTCGTGAATCCAC